AGAGTAACAGTACCTTTCCGGACCTGTTTTGCCACATCTCTATGAGCCACACATTGTAGGCCGTAATCCAGGCGCCGGCACCCATGCCGAAGAAAAATGAGCAAACAAATAGCTGCCAAACCTCTCGTGTAAATGGGATAACGGTGCTCGTGATGGCCATTAGTACTAATAGGCATGTTAGGGTGAGCTGTCTGTTCACGTACCTAAATACCAGGCCAACTATAAAATAAAGGTTTTGTTTTAATGTAAAATGTTTTAAAATTTATGTATGGGTGCTTACATAGAGATCCAAGTGTAGTTCCCACAGAGAATATGGTGGGAAACAGTGATATGGTGGACAGGGGTGCGTCCAGTGTGTACTGTAGGTCGACATACGTAGGACCAAATACTGTTGAACTTGTGGCCTGGTTATTATTTTTAAAAAATATGATTTAAATTTTAGTAACTACATAGGTTAGCACATAATTATTCCCAAAAACTTACATAGATCAAATGTGTGAGTAATAAAATACAGGTATACGCGTATTTATCCACGTAAATTAATTCAGGTTTGCGCCAAAAGTCCCGCAAACGCCCACAAAACATGATTACTTAAATTAATAACAAGATCACTTATTAAATATTAACTTTTAATTTTAATAGTCTTTAAAAAAATGTGAATTTATTATTAATGTCAATAAAGTCTCAATTATGTCGTGATGTCTGTCCAAAGTTTGAAATGAGTGCATCTTATTATTGTCATTTATTTAAGAGAAGACCAAGGTACTCAATAATAATTTACTTAACTTTATTATTTCAACAGTAATGTTTCATTAATTATATGGTTATTATACCAGTAGAAGCACCTGTATGTCGTACAGTTGTAATACTGATAAAATATGTTTTTATGTCAAAACATAATAAAGTTATAAAATAAATCATGTGAAAGGACAAACTTCAAATAGGATATATAAAATTTCCAAATAATAAATAATCAACTAAAAATAATTGTTAATTTAGCAATTTAATCAGGATAAGATAATTGATTATAGTATATTAATTATATCTTTTTATATGGTATAAAACACTAAAATTCAATACTTACCAAAAGTCCAAGTAAAATTTATTAAGATTTATACTTAAATATAAATATTACAAATTACTGATAAATATTTATTTAATAATGATCAAACTTAAAAAATACAGTATTAGGGCTCATTCAATAAGTACGTACGCACTGGGTGGGGGAGGAGGGGTCACCCAAGGCATGCGTACACAATGTTAAAGTCCTTTGTACGAGGGGCGTGTCGGGGTCAATTTTTAGACAAATTTTTGCGTACGTACTTATTGAATGGCCCCTTATAATCAAATACAAATATAATATTATAGCTATTTATTTAATACTTTATTTAAGTACTTTATAATAACTACAAGTTACATCATGATAACACATTAAATGGCCGTGTTTATTAAATATACTGTATAGTATTATATTTTTATCAGATTTTTAATATTAAGTTGTAAATTTTTATTTCAATTTATTGTTTATAATGAAATGCTAAAGGTTACTAGTTAATTTGGAAAAGAGGTATTCCTTATTTATTTGTAAAGTTGTTTTATTTTTATTTTAGAATATTTTGTATTATTAATTTTTAAAAACTGTAAATGTGATGAAAATCTAATATATTTATTTTAAAACTAATTGTTGTTTACTAATTGGATTAGTGTCCGGACCGGAAAACATTAATTTTATACAGTACTAGTACATTATTGATGAGATAGTTTATGAGTTTGTGAATATGAAGTTTCTATAGCCTGACAATATTTATTTTCATATTACAAATTAAAATATAAATTTTAAACTTATTTAAAAATAGGTTTTTCGCTGATATTTACTATTTTATTTATACCTGATGAAAGATATAAGACCTATTACTATAGATTTTTATAGCTAAGCCCTTTATTTAAGATTAATATAATGATCATAATTTATAAAGGGCATATCTATAAAAATACATGATAATGGGTTTGAAATCTTTTAACTGGTACTTTATTAAGTTTTGCACTTATTTTTATATTGATCGCCTATTGAATCATGATCATATTCAAAAATGTTAATTTTAAATAAAATAAAGTCTAAGATTTGAACTGACATTAACACTACAATTGTATAATTAGTGATAATTATCAGCTGTATTTGTGTTTGTAGTGATTAAAAATTTAATTTTATTGTGAAAAAGTCGAAAATTACATTATAATTTGAACGTAATTTGTTAAATGTATTATAAATAATTTTTTAAAAATTACTTTAATTTTATAAAATAGTGCCCCACCAGCACATAGGTGCCACAGCCTAACCACTTTCGGATATATCACGTTGAAATTGTTGTTTAGTTGCACATTGCTTAGTTGTATCAATGCATAACTGCTCGCCAACGATACAATTATTATTACCACATTTGAAGCATATTTTATCACCACAACTGAATTCTTCCTGATCCTGTATATATATATATTAAAGAGTTTATTAATGCAAATATTATCATGATAATATAAGCCTTTTAATTACCCGATTATCTTGATCATTTTCGTTTGGATTGGCCTCGGTGTCGGTTACGCCGTAGAGACATAAAGTAATGGCCATATAGATAACGAATGCGTTTAAAAAGTGCATTATTTTCTGGATTTGTGTACATTTTTGCTGAATATCTGTAACACTATTTTACAGACGGCTATCAAATATTGGTTTTTAATGTGTGTTTTAATTAAATTTTATAACTAATACATAAGGATTTGTAATTAAAACTTTGATGACAGTACTTCCGGTATGAATTTTACTATCAACGTTATTATTATTTATATAGTTAAAATAAAAATTATTTATTGTGTATGATAAAATGAAAAATATTATTTTGAATTAAGTACATTTCAATCTAGGTTTCTTTTAAAAATACTTGGATTATTAAAATACAATTATCCAGAACAAAGTTTTTAATTTTACAACATTGTAGTAATTAAACAATTTCTTTATTTTTTATTTAGTTTTAATTGTTAAATAGAGAAAACATTTTAAATCATAGATTTTAAATGAAGCAAGTTGTACATTTAACTTTGAAAATAATACCAATTTTAATCAAATTATTCAATTACATGAGTAAATAAATTATTACAGTAACCTAGGGGATAGTCTTATCAAAGTCTTTGGTCTTCACATGCATGGGTCCATCGAAATCGAGGTTATATTCATTCAATTGCGTGATCATAGCGTAGACCCTTTGGACCGAGTCGTCGTGCCATCCCTTTTGGTGCCGTTTGTTGAGCTCATCCCTCGGGTTATCGAAGTCCTCGAGTCTCATGTCGAGGAAAGCCCTAATCCAGTACTGCTCGTCCTCCGACTTTTTCACACCGCCTTTCCTTTGGCTAACCGTGCGGTCCAGTATGGAGGGCATGGAGTCACCATCATCGCCGCCACCATGCTCAATTATGCAGTCGTATAGGGCGCACCGACCCAGGGCAGTTTTCAGGTTTACGGAGTCCGCTAGTTTCATAGCAGGGCTGTTCAAGGGTAAAATGTCTATGCTAATAAATTTTATGGTATTTTTATGATGTTTTTATAATTAAGCTGTAAATTGTATTTTAATTTATTGTTATTAATATAATGTTAAATGTTTCTAGTTAATTTGGAAGGTCCCGATATATCTATTTTTACAGTATTCCTATTTATGGTTTAGAATATTTTGTATTATTAATTTTAATAAACTGTAAATTTGATGAAAATTTAATATTTAAACTTAAACCTAATTGTTTCCTGATAATTGGATTCGAGGCTTGCGACCTTTGAAAACAATAATTTTTATAGTACTACAGTAGTATTAATGAGCTAGTTAATAAGTATATGATTTTGAAGTTTCTATAGCCTGTAAATCTTATTTTAGATTAAAAATTAAAATATGAGTTTTAAACTTATTATTACGTTGGTTTTTGCATATTATATGTACTATTTTATTATAGTGTTTCACACTTTTTATATTGACTGACTATAATATAATAACTATCAATTGAATGACAATCAATATAAAAAATTGTAAATCATAAGCAAGGCAAAATCTACTAAATTGTAAATTTTACCTTATTATCTGTGTTGTAAAAATTAATATTTACAATGAATTTATACTGCTATAATTACATATTTATGAGCTAGTTACTAATTATTTTAGAAAATTAATATGAATAAACTAAAAACTGAAACAATAACCTAGTTACAAAAAAAAGTTTAAAATCTCATTTACTTGTAATACATTTCGGCCGACACCTCGTCCTGAACCTCAATAAACAGCCGATCGGCACAAGAGGCCTTCCATGCCTGGGGAAAGCCGTCCAAATGGGAAGTATCATTGCTGACCTCCCGGGCCAGTCGCTCCAATTCCGGCAAATATTTTTTCAACGAATTGAACGGATTTTGTTTGGTAAAGGTCTGGACGACCACCAGTGCGTCACCGGTAGCTGTGGTGAAACCAAACTTACCACACGTATAGCCCCTCCCGTCCCCTATGTCCTCGACATACGAGTACTGGATGTCAATGGAGTCGTTCTCGAAGATACTGATGAACTGTTCGCACCGTTTCCTCTGCTGGGGTGTCATCTGAGCCCAGGTCACGTATAGCCCCTCCCGTCCCCTATGTCCTCGACATACGAGTACTGGATGTCAATGGAGTCGTTCTCGAAGATACTGATGAACTGTTCGCACCGTTTCCTCTGCTGGGGTGTCATCTGAGCCCAGGTAGTCATGAGTAGGCATACCGTCGCGAAAATTATGGATAGTTTCATGTTTTTAATGAGTTTTTAAAAACTAATTTTTGAATATTTTTTTAAAAGTTGTTTTTTTATTTGTAGTAGATGGTATTTATAATAGTAAGTTAGAATGTAATAGTGTGCAAAATAATCATTTTGTTTGTTCACGGTTAAGCACCTGGATCATTGTGAAAATTTTCACACAAACTCATTAAGATAAAATATATTATTTATCTATTTTAAGTTGCAAGTGAACTTATTATCAAAATACTGGGGGCATTTATAGCATACAAAATAACATTTAAACATTTAAAATTTTATAACATTTAAAAAAATTATTATTATTTAATAAAATTAGAGATATTTATTGAAAAGATTGCATTTTTTTGAAGCACCCAGTTATAACAATTATTAAAACTAATCATATGAAAAATTAAATATTTTAAATAGCTTGATAAATGAATAACACTATCACAATAGTTGTACGAATGTCTTTGATACAATTCACTAAACGTAAATCAAATAATAAAATCAGATAGCTAATTAATTACAGTGAATTATGTCTTTTAATATACTTACAAAGATAATTTGGGATAATTTAATAGTGTTGTTGGAAAATAATTGATATTTTTTCTGTCGTGTGATAATAAAAATAATAATCAAGTAACTTCTGGACTATGGGAACAATTATCAGAAACAATTAAGTTAACATTTTGTGAAAGTAATTAATTTATGTTTTAATTCAAAACTTTTTATTTTATAAAAAATCTTAATTTTATTATAACAAATAGTATTGTAAAATAATTTCTAAACTGTATAACTTGATTGAGAAATACAATTTAGATATAAGATTATAAAGTTAATTGTTAATTGGCTCCACAAATAATCAGGATTTAACACCTTATGTTATTTACTTGATACTTTTACTTGAAATGCATATAATAAATATTAACTATAAATTTTAAACAAAATTATGGTTATTTCAATGGGCCAAGTATTATCAAATAATTATTTTCGCTCATTATGTACATGCCATGAAAAATATTAAAATATGTGTTAGGATATTTCAAAAAACGTATGACATTTTCTATAGCCTCATCGTGCAGTTTTCACATCTTACAAATACTCATATCTGATGTTAGAAAGCAAATTGAGGTTTATGTATAGGCTAAAAATACTTTATACTTTGCTCGAAAGCAATGACAAATATTAAAATTTTTAGCCTATATATAAACCTCAATTTGCTATCTAACATCAGATATAATGTTCACGTTTTAAACAAATTAATTTTCAATCCTTGTGTATAAACTTATGTATTTATTAGAGAAAATATTAATGAAAACATTGCCGTTATATATGTGTATTTGTAAGATGAAAAAACTGCACGATGTTTGCTATAGAAAATGTCATCCGTTTTTTGAAACATCCTAAGACATATTAAGATGCAAAAATGTGTTATAGTACATATAAATTTTATATAGTGCTATACAAATTCCACTTTATATAGTTAAAATAATATTTGATTGAGGTTTATGTTGTCACAAGTAGTCATTTTAAAAAAATATTTACTTTTCAACTCACAATTTGCGACACAATTTGACCGATTATTGTCTTCGGTATTAT